CTACCTCCTCCTTCCACCATTCGTAACAGAGCAACAGACAAAAACATTTCTATAAAATACGAAAGTGTAGTCTTAAAACGTCAAAAAAAGAGCAAAAGCTGCTTACTGCTTCCAAACTTTGCAAGATTTCATGGCAACAAAGTACCTTTTAACAATAACTAAAGGAAAAGGTTTTCCAACTACTTCATGATACCATATCAAATGCTGAATGTACACATTATTTGCATTTATATCAGCTACTTTATCCTGACTATCTTTACAAGGACTATTGAATTCAGCCACATCGTTCAAGACTAACTTTTATTTCCCTAGGCCAAGAACAAAATTGAGTATTGATCTTGACAACTACTGCCTTCTCCAGGAGACGTCTCACCCTCTTTCTGAGCAACCCCGTCTCCAGCAGCCTACCTGAAGAGACGGCCTGCATGTGACCCATGCCAACTTTTTTATATGAGGACAAACCTCCTCTTTTCATAAGCTTGTTCTATGAAGAAATATTGCCACACCATGTAGAGATCACAAGGTTTCTCAGGACTTTTTCTCCCCTCCCATTTCTTACCAAGTTACTCTCTGGTCAGACTGGAAAGTTTCCTGCTTCCAAGCTTGAAAGTCACAAAACCCTCCTCATCTTACGAGTCACCTGTTGCCATCACCCAGAGAGGCAGAGAAGCTGATGCTCAAAATAGCTTTCCCAGATAGTATTTTAACCAAGTCTAAAGATTATTTTTAAAGAAAGTCTTATCTCTGTTCCTTTACTAATATTCATTTAAATGTTACTCTTTGGCCTTGTTTTTCACACGAGTTCATCCCACTAGAAGGCAAACACTTCTCAGATGAGACTCCCCGCATGCTGACAACCTCTAGTTTGCAAGGTCTTCCCTTGTCTTTCCCATCCACCAGAGGAAAAAAGGACTTTTCCTCTATTCTCCCTTTCTGTGGCAACTGGAGAAAGAAAAAAAGCAGGGGAAAAGTAAGTAAGTAGAGAGAAGAAAACAAGCCCCAAGCTTCCCAAATCACAACTTTCCAAAGCACACTCTTTTGAGCGAAGCCCATGAAACAATGATTTTAAAGAGCTCTGTTTCGCTATTGAGGATGGCCATAAAACCACACACTGTCAGAAGACCAGTGTTGAACTACTAGGCACTACTGGGAACTGTGTTCAAACATAAAATTCTGATTCTGTTATCATCCCCCAACCTATTATTTTGGGGGTAAAACCCAATATTTTACATATTCCTTTCCTTTAACCACCCCTCAACCCTGTGTCTGGTCTTAACCTTAAGCAGTCATTCTCTTTTCCCCATTCCCTGCTGAGAAACTCTTCCTTCTGATTGACAGTTTAGTGTTTTATGCCTCAAGGTCATTTGATCTTCTCCTATCCCAAGTCACAACCCATCACAGTCCACGAAACAAAACAAAACAAAAAAATCACACGACAAAACCCACAACAACAAATAAAATCATTTACAAAGTCAAAGTTTGCCATATTTTCTGGCAGTTGGCTTTTTCTGGAAGCAGACACGCTGGGACTTATTTTTTAGTATCATTTCTAAAGATCAAATATAAATGAGGTCTTGTAATACTGTCCTGTAGAAAACCAAAAGCATCAACAGTGGGATAACGGACGCCCAGGCACGCACTGTCTATAGACATTTAGATAAGATAGTATCCATTTTAATAAAACTTCTTTGTGCTCATTTAGAGCAAGAACTTTCATAATTAGTTTTTATGGAGTTTATATAATGAAAAACTTTTTAAAGTCCATGTAAACAACTTCCATTCACTGTGACTAAAATCTGAAAATCATGAATGATCTTGATAAGAGTTGCCCCATGGTGTAACGACTTTCTAAGCTCATGCTGAACCATTCTGGTCACGCTTTTGCTCTGATGCAAGGCCAACAGTCAAGAAATTCACAGCAGAAAACTGCAACTTTGTAAATGAGCTTCTGTCACTTGATTTGAAGCAGAAGAAAAGTATGGTCGTTCCCAAACCCTGTTCTAATTTAGAGATGAAAATAAAAAATAAGAACCTCCTCGCAAGGTGTGCCAAAACTGCAGGCTATACCAGTAGTTACTCAGTCTCCCTAGCACCGAAGTGTACAACATCGATGTGAAAAGACACTAAGGAGATTATTTAGTAAAAGGGACATTGACTTCTCACTGTTGGAAGGTTGCAGGCACCCTCTGTTTATGAGTATACTGATCTCTTTAAATAATAAAATATCTCTCCCTCAGTAGAGGTGATATTCTCAACTATTACTTCTGCAGTCAATTTTTTTATCTTTATTAGTTGGCCTAATAAACACAGTATCAACACTAAACAGTCCAGTAAAACAGAACTACTCCAGTCATCCACTGATTGCGTACAAATGTGTAGGAGTTTGGTACTTCCTTCCTGCTAAGAAAAAGTAATGAGAAAGAAAAGAATCAAAAAATTCACTTGAAAAAACCAGCATCACTCGTACAATCCTGGCATGCTTTGGGTTGGAAGCGAGCTTTAGAGGTCATGCAGCCCAACCCCCCTGTAATAAGCAGGGACATCTTCAACTGGCTCAGAGCCCTGCCCAGCCTGGCCTTGAATGTTTCTAGGGATGGGGCATCGACTACCTCTCTGGGCAACCCATTCCAGTGTTTTGCTACCCTCCTTGTAAAAACTGTCTTCCTTACATCGAGTCTAAATCTACCTTCCCTTAGTTTAAAGCCATTGCTCCTTGTCCTATCACAACAGGTCTTGCTAAAAAGATTCACCCCCCAACTATTTTAAAAAAACCTCAATTTACATTGGTGTCATTCATTAGGTACTCTAAGAAAAATCAAGGAAGTAGTGCTGTTTTCTTGGTTCAGCACATTTTTGAAAATCTTTACCGTGGTAAGTTTTGCGTAATTATCCTCAGAATAGGGTATTTTGAAGGAGATCCACAACATAAGGAAATTGGAATAATGAGTTGCATTTACTTGTCTATCATTTCAGTTGGCATTCTATGGAAGTTATACATCTTTAGATACTGGGTAAGTCTCTCCCTTCTTTTGACTCCATTCATAGATCAAGATCATTACAATTTCTCCCACCCAACGCCCTAAACAAAACATAAATGCCAGCACTATCAATCTCAACAAGCTCTGTATGACAACAAACATTAATAGAATGACCTTCTTCAGCTAGATTTTAATCAGTAAATTCGGATGGAAAATAGCAAGTGGCACAGCTTAGCCAACGTGAACAAATTATCTACGTCATCCTTCATGATGTCAGTCAATACCTACGCTGAGCAAGGAAACTCAGCAATTTGGGATCCAGTAAAATACATCATTAAGCACAAAGCCAACATCCTTTTTTTTTTTTTTCACTCCTGAATTAAACTAAAGCAAGCATTCTTTACATCTAATACAGAAAATTTGCAAGTGTGGCTGCTGCAGAGAGTGTGCCCACAAAGTCACAACACACGAACTGCAGACCAAGTCTCCGCACTTTGCATTTCCATATGCAAATGCAGAGTCCCAGACCAGCCCTGCAGTTATTTCTGCTGAGGGTTAGAGAACTTGACCACACTAGTGAAGGAGCAGACAGCCAAATGACGAGTAGCAGAGCATGTGCTTATTTCCCCCATATGCCAGGACATCAGCCACGTCACTTCATGCTTTCCAACTAGCTGCAGTAAAGCCTCCAAACATCCAAACATCTCTCTTCTACCCATGGACACGTGCTGAATAGCAAACACCTCCATGCCAGATCGTCATGCTTAGATTTCTTTTTTTTTTTAAACAATTCTTCTCAAAAAGAAACTAAATGTTCCCTGCCTTACAACCTCCATAATAAAGGAAAAGCAGTAAGGATGTGCTCCCCCGCCCCACAACGCACTCAACCTACCAGGCTTCCTCTCATGGTAGAGGAAGAGGATGCTGCTGGGCATGCCCATGCTGAGACAGTGGGTGAGGAACGCTCACATTGCACTGCTTAATACCATCCCAGGATGGCACTTGGCTGTTCTCGAAGCATTCTTCAGACTTCCCATTTGCTATTTGGTCAGAAAGAGCAACAGGAACACAAATGCTTTTGCACAAGGTCCCTGCTACTTAAATCCACTTGCTATAAACCATGAATTTGTGGGGAGGGAAGGAAGGCTGCAGAAGGAGCAGCCTTTTAGTCTCTGTCCTTTGTTCACACTATAGTAAGGACCCCACAAAAATTACAAAAATTCAAACCTTGAGAAGACAGTTGTGTGTCAGAAAAAATCCTGCTAGGTAGAAAACTGCTTTGTTCATCCCCTTGCAAGGCACAGAGCTTGATTTCCCTTAATGGATAATATTAAAGTATGAAAACGGGATGAACAGCCAATATATCCAAAACATGAGGACCATGATCCTTTAGTTTTTCCAGGAAAGGCCAATATGGCTTAGCAAGATGATAGACTTTTCCTGTCCCTATCAAAATAGATCTGTTCCAGTAAGACAGACAAAGGGAAGAGCTGCACAGTGTTTGAACAGGTTTCTTTATCAGAAGTGAATCTGTTCCGTCAAATGGAATACAAAAATGTATTTTAAAAACTAAATGCTTACTGCTTCACCACACCACACTCATAAATTGATAGCACTATCAATTTGTTAATAACCAGTGCTGAACCATCACCCAAGAAAAACGTATATTCTGTTATGCACTCACAGGGTGAAAATTTGATAACAGACTAGCCTTAAGAACAATTTGCCTACTGGAGAATTGGTTAGAAAACTCTCAGCTGTTTGCCCATTTCAAGAGGAAGCAGCCATACACTGTAGGAGAAAGTTTGGCTAATACACTACATATGTAAAAACAACTGTCTCTCAAATACTTGCCCATAGAATAAAAAGTAAAATATACCACGATATATGAAAATTCATCACGTCAATTCAGATCACTGACAAAGCAGATCTGCAATAAGGACGTGAGGAGGCCCATTTATTATCGTGTCAGTAAGTGAAGCAAAATATCTGTACCGTATTATGAAGCAGCAGCAAGCCTACCTGCACATTTTGTTCTCGTCGTGAGGGGTGGTCCAGGGGGCCCTGTGCCTCCTTCCCCAGGGCGAGTTAGCAGCACTCTGATCTCGTACTCCACATCAGGGTCCAAATGCCACAGTTTGTAATTAGGAGAGTCTACAATGTGCGTTTCTGCCCAATTCCCAGTCGTCGTCCGATACTCCACCTCTTTCAGTATGATGGGTCCGTCTCCAATGATGGAGTTGGCGTTGGGTTTGATCCACAGGTACGTGGCTCCGACAGCCAGCAGCTCGGGAGGGGCGATCGGAGTTGGGGGTTCTGGAGACAAAAAGAAATAATGCGAGGCCTGAGACAATTTCATCAAAAGGATCAAATTTCCACTATATATTTGTATGGCAAGGCTGTCCCAAAATCTTTTGAAACACAGGCAGAGTTTACCTGTCATTTGCAAAATCTTTCATAAGAATTTAATCTCTTACTGAAAAGAACTTGGCTTCTTTTATTTGCGCTAAAAATTCAGCCCCCTTACCCTGGGGGTAGTATCACCCGTCAGGACCCCCCTCAAAAACACAGTAACCACAAACAACTTCCATTTAAAATGAAGCACAAAAGTCACTTCTAGAAGATCAGAAGGTTTATACTTTTTTCCTCCCTTAAGCATATGAGCATAGCAGTCCATATGATATTGGAGGGCAAGGGGGGAACAGAGTCTGAAATAAAGACAACTGAGTGCCTTTAGCATACACCATGTATGAAAAAGCTCCAGTACAACAGCTCTTGCTCTGCCCTGTGACCCCACGTGGCAAAACATCATCACGATCATCAATATGGTATTTTGGTTCAGCCAAAGCGCAATGCTCAACATGACACAATTAACAAGTGAAAAACTCCAATCACTTGCTCATTTTGCTATTTTAACAAGCAAAATAAAGGTTAAAAATAGGATATATTCTTTGTAATCAAAGCACTGGCTGTGTGTCTGGAAAAATACCAGACCATTTAAACACTAGGGATCTTCCCATGGTCAATGATATCAGCAGTCAGGACGCTGCTAGAACTGACTAACTGGGGCTCCTGGTAGCTCAGAACTAAGAACAACTCTGAGACACCGGTGAAGCAACACCTCCTGTCATGTTTGATTGCAAAGTTTGCTTAACTTCATAAGCAAAGGTACTCGAGCAAAGTCTGCATGAGACATGAAGAGTGCCTCGATGTCTGAAAAGCATCACGAGGAGGCAGGAACCCAGCCACTGAATATCACCTCTGTGATAAGAAGAAAAGCAAGCCAATAAAACATATTTCAGCAGCACCCTTTGATGAGAACTACAAAAAAAATCTACAGGGCTCTGGCTGCCTGCCTGACTTTTTTTTTCCCCCTCTGTCAGTGTATAAATAACACTTGCATATTGGAAGCCGCATGAATAGCATATGCCTTGTGGTTTTGAAAACCTGAGCTGAACTGTGCAAGATTATGAGCAGTTTCTTTAATCTCATCTAGCTTTCCCTCTGTCACAGTCTAACACGGTTTGCTCTCTGCCCAGAGGACACAAACTCTATTCTCTTGTGAAAATAAGGTGACGAATAGGACACCTCTGTCTCAGAAAAAGAAACCTATAAATATTACAGTGTGGCATTAATTTTAGAGTTCTGTGGGACTTAGTCTAAACCATTCCTACAGGGGATTCTCCAAAGAATCGAGAGAAATGGAAGAATTCAGGACCCATAGAAATGTGGAAGGGAAGAGTTTGAGCACCACATGATGGGAGGAAGATGGGACTTTCCCCTCTGGAGAAGTCTGCAGGTTAACATCTATCTGCTCAGTGAAGAGAAACCAATGCACAGAAACCATTATTGTACAAAATTATGAGCTGAAATGGTACTTGATTAATTTTTTCTAGCTAACTAATCACAATGAACTGCACTATCTGCTTGAGATTGACTGCAGTAGCTGTGCATTGTACCTCTGAAAAAAAAAAAAAGCAATCTGAATTGTAATTGTAGCAGATATCCTACATGAAAAAAACCTAGTGTCACAAGCAAAGTTTTTTTGTGGAATATTTGTTTCTGCTTTTATTTTGCACCGTTTCCCTAGTTCCTGCCAGAATCTTTTCCTGATATGAAATGTTAGGCTGATTATGTTTTGACTTAGCAAGGTTATTTCTCCAAGAAACTTGTTTTCAAGAAATGCATGTAGATACATTTTCATTAAAAATCAAATTATTATAAGTCACAAACAGTTTATTACTTGTTTCTTGGTGCAAGACAATTAAAAGATAGACTTTGTGATTTTTATTCCCAATGCAAAAATGACATCTAACAATTCACATCACAGCTGAACACAATGAAACACTGAACTCCATTCTCCTGGGCTGTAGACTTCAACAGTAACATTATCCAGGTTACTTTGGGATTTGGTTGCAAGTTAGAAGAGATTTACAGGACTGAGCTTAATTAACAGAGCAGTTTGTCCCACTAAACAGACATGAAAGCCTCCTCTAGCAAGCTTAGAAACTACCATCGCCTAACAGATTTAAATTAAGACGACACGCAGCATTACTGTCTTTTCTCTTCTAGGCCAAATCTAAACCTCCCCCACCCCACAAAAAAGTGATGGTGGTTTTCCCTTTTTCCCCCTTGTTAATTTTCCCCTTTCCAAGTATCATTTGAAAAGTGGGTACCACAGAATATTAGAAAATTAGGAGTTAAAACTGCTGCTCCCATTTTCCTCATTTAAGAAACTCGGATCAACAGCCATTGTAGGAGTCATTCCAGGCTCAGTCGCACCTCACTGAAAATAAGGGGCTCTTTCCTACTGGCACCAATTGGACAAGCAGCAATTTTTTTTAATATCACTCTGTGCCAAATTACTACAAGTGATCTAAACAAGTTACCCATTATTTAGCAAAATTAGCACATAAATAAGGACCATTTTTTTGGCTTTTGTAACTAGCCACACTTGTCAGTTACAGATGACCAGCCTGATGTTATGAGCTCACTACTTTAATTAAAATCTCTATGTGATCTTGATTAAATAAAGATGGTGACAGACTGGCCTTGTACACATGTAATTGTAACCAACTGTATCTTAAGCCCTGTTTGATCCAGACAGTATTTTATATTGCAAGTTTTGTCTAGGCTGTTGCTGCCTTTCAGCCTTTCTCCCTCCTCCTCCTCCAGACGCAGAGGAGAAAGCCACCAGCTCCCCAGGAACGAGGACATCAGGAACTGGACTGCTGCAGCTGGAACAGTATCTCGCCTGAATCCCAGACTCGGGAAGGGCACAGAAAAATGGGATTCCTGGGTGCCCCCTTTTCAAGGAAACAAAAGACCTATGTAGTACAAGCTCAAAAAGGGGTTACTGAACACGAGTAGATTTACTGTACGTGCAAAGCAGGTCCAGCTGTGCAGACATGAAGGGAATTTGGGGTGTGCCTTTCTCCTCCTATTAGAAAATACAGTCACGGTCTACAGCAGAACAGGCTGAACACTGTTAGGGCTGTACAACGACAGAAAGTTTTGTAGTGCAAAGAGCATGAGAACAGTACCAAAAAAGACCAAACAGAATCACAGAGTATCTCAAGTTGGAAGAGACCATAAGGACGATCGAGTTCAACTCATCCAAGTCCCTGCTCCTCACAGGAGCTGTAGGACTAAGAGCATCATCCAGACACTCCTTGAACCCCGACAGGTTTGGGGCCAGGAATACTATACTTTCCAGCTGCTGTGGAAAACACATGTATACTCTTTGGCAACCGCTCCTGAGTGTTTCTACTCCACTACTAGAATATTTCTCTATGTGATTTTCGAAGCATGGCAGTTCTAAGCAATTGTTAGACCATGGAATAAAAATGGGCTCCACGCATCCTTCAGATGCAACTGGGAAGACTGAAACATGAGAGAGAAATCCCCATCACCCATTTTCACTGTCTCCCATGAAATAATCCATAAGAAAAAGGAATTATAAAAAATGTAATGTTAAAACACCTGGATAAACCTCTTAAGCAACAGACTTTATATAATAAAGCTTTTTTTTTTTTTTTAAATTCCTCCCTTGTTCATGATAAGATCATCTGACAAAATGCACAACCAAGAAGGCCATGAGCTCTCCTTTGCATTTGTTGGCCTATGGATGGTGTTAGACCAAAAAAAACCCCTAACGTTACAAAACACTGGTATATCGCAAAGTTCAACGATTCTGTTTCAGAAATGTTAACCTCTACCTTTGTTTGGAATGTTCATGCCAACACATAAAATTCCTAACGTGACTCCCTCAAGCACTGAAATAAGCTCTCAATTTAGGACTGAGAAAAAACAGAAAACAAAACCAGAAAGGACCCAGCAAAGGCTGACGCGTCTCTTACATAGAGGAGGAAAGCAGGCTTGCATATGCCTGGGCCACCCAGTGAAAAGCCTGCAAGTCCTTCCCAAACCTCAGCCGCGTGTGCCCCGCACCCAGCCAGGCCCTCAGAGCCGCACGCAGCCAGCCTCGCTCTGCATTCTCACACACATGCCACATACAGCGTGGGTTCTAAATGGAAGATTAGAAGAGACATGGCGGGTTTTTTGTTTGTTTTACTCTTTGGGGACTGAAGAGGTGGGAATAGGAGCTGGTATCAAAAGACATTTGCCTGACAAGCAGGATCTGTGTTTGCAAAATGACACCGCTCATTCCCCTACTAATGGGAATTTTAAGCTTTTCTCACAGCATCCTAAACGAGCAGCTGTGGACTGTGCTTGCCAAATGGATAAGGATGGGACTGGAAGCAAGGAAAACAAATTTTAAGCTTCTCAGAACTTCTTTTTTTAAGCAAAAAATCCAGAACAAAACATATTTGTACAGTTTTCTACACAACAGCCACAGACTATCACAATTTAAAAGCTACTGAAAACATAGGTACTTAAATGTGCATCTAAGAAGGCAAACAGCTGTTTTAAGAAAAAATGGAATCATGTTAAAACACCCTTGTGTTTTTTTGCCCTTCCACCCTTTAAGCAGAATTTGTCACCTTTACACAACTGTTTTGCACTCTTTATTGCTGGCTATTAGAGATTCACTTAACTGTCTGAGCAGCATCCATGCGTACCCCTTCCAGTTTTACAACACAGCAATAAGCAGCCTGAGCTCTGCATGACAGTATTTATACCAACACTGCTTACTAGCACACTTCCTACTGCTATAATAAATGCAGCAGTTGAATTTTGTTTTCCAGTGATTGTCTGAACTTCCAGTTCCATCTATTCCACAAAGAAATGGCAGGAGGATTTTGTAATATTTAGCATAAGACTCTTTCACTGTGCTGACGTAATTTTTTGTCTAG